GGCGTGCTCCGCAGCTCCGGTCTAGCCCAGGCTCTGGCTGGGGATCCGCGGAGGGCAAGGCGCGAGCTTCCTCCTCGGCGTTGGGGGTTGGTTCTACAGAGGCGCTAACCTACCTGTAACCACGCGGCTAACCCATGGGCCTTGACTCCTAGGTGAGGATGGGTGGGCGTCGAAAAATAAGTGGTGAGCGAATGACTTCAGCTTCTGATCAGTCAAGGGATGGGAATAGGCTTGTTATCAGACACAGAGCATCGTAAAGTTGATTGTGGCAGACATAGGTCGAAATGTACTGTTGGCTCTGGGGGAAGGCCCTTGACTCAACATCTGTGGCATCCCTTAGAGAGATGTCCATGTATAGGAGGTTCCCAGCACAAGGGCCCCGGGTTCAAAGGACCCACTGCCAGCTCCTCTTTCTTAGTGGTAGTCAATCTCTCTCCTCTGCACCATCCTTGCTCTTTTGTTGATGCGGGCCATTCCTAGGGAGGCTCCCTTTCCATCAGAGCAGGACTATGACTTGAATAAGGGTGCTGCATCCCACTCTAGAAGCCCTGGGGCATAGAGGCATTGGGCTGCTAAGTGCCTGGTCAGCTTAGGCTGTGAATGTCTTAGACTGAGAATGCGAGCAGTCGGAAGTGCACTGGTTGCTTGTGGGAGAAAGACTTCAAAAGTTTCTACTCCTATAAAGAATTACATGGGGGAGAAGGGGGGGCTGGGGAGGGGATGAGCTGATGCCAAGGGCTCGAGTAGAAATGTTTTGAAAATGATGATGGCAACCTATGTACAAATGTGCTTGACACGATGTATGTATGGATAAGAGCTGTATGAGCGCCCAATAAAATGATTTTTTAAAAATTTACAATCTTGGAAACCCTCAGGGACAGTGGTACTCTACCTCACAGAGTTCCTATGGGTTTTTATTGACTTGATGGACGTGAGTTTAGTTTCTGATTTTTCCCACTCTGATCCCCTTGTAACTGATTGGCTGGTCACATCACATCATAGGGGATGATGATAACGTTGTGTAATGCTGCCACATGACTGGCACATCACTGTTACGTTACCTAACTGCCAATAC